GTCAAAGATTTTTACAATAACCTGTATATATAAACTCCGGTCTAAATTTCGGTCTAGACTCCAGTTTCAAATCGGTCCACAAACCGATCCAGTTCGATTTTATCTTCAAACTGATAAAAATCAGACCGAAACCGAACTGGTCGAACCGTTAACATCCCTAACTGTGATAGCCAATTATATTCAACCTTTTTGATCGGTTTATTCGTATATTAGATGGTGATCGTCAAAGTTTATCAATCGACTCGTCCGTTCGACTGAGTCGCGACTCTCATTTGAAAGTAGTGATCATAATTGGACAAGAAGCGTAGTAAATCCAAATGATTTTAATAATCTACGTCTCAAATGATCTTTTTGTACTTCAATTGAAATTATCTTGGATATTTAAAGTTAATCGAAAGTATTGACATAATATCAAATTTGGATCATTCATTAGAAAAATACCGTCACGGCCGTCACTAATCTAAAAATTCATCTGCGAAATTTATGCATAACAGATTTTATCGCATGCATCATAAAAATCATCGTCACCATATAATTAAAAACTTTGCTTAAATTCAAACATGGTTTCACCTTTAATACCACCTTTTAGGTACGCTATAGTCGAAAACGAAGTTTATCGTGGAGCATATCCAAAAAATAGAAATTATCGCTTTCTAAAAAGGTGTTTCCTTCACACATGAAATATTATTGAACGATTTGTTCTATTTTTATTTTATAACTTAAAAAATTTTTTTTCCTTCCTTGTAATTAATATGAAATTTATTAGGTTAAAACTTAAAACGATACTTTCACTTATACCTGAACAACCAGTGACCGAACTCCTAGAATTTTGTCAAAATGAAAATATAAAAAGTATACATTTACAAGTTAACCGAGCTAAAGACAACGTTCCGTTAAATTATCATAAAGCCGTTCAAACATTACAGGTTGGTCATGAATTCGTTTATTCATTCATATGATTTAAATAATTATAATTTTTTTTTTTATTTTTTAAGATAATAATAGATCCATCATATTTACCGATATTCATACATTGTTTAGATGGTGCAAATGTTACAGGATTGGTTGTAGCTTGTCTAAGAAAATTACAAATGTGGAGTATACCTTCAGCAATGGGTGAATTCTTAAGGTAAATACGTTAGTTAATTGGACGATTTTGGTAAGCTGCGCCACATAACATGATTACTTATTGTAGATAAAAAATCATTTTTTTATTTATTTCTTTAAATATTATAGATACCTTCGTGATGGTGTGATTTCAACAGAAGAGAGTGAATTCGTAGAAAAATTTTCTGCAGAAATAGAAATTCCACGTAAAATACCACAGTGGTTATGGGGAGGTCACGTAACATTTAATAAACACCCAACATTAAAATTAAAATTTTTGGATCCAAATATTGTTGAACCATTAGAAACACAAAAAAAGAAAAGTGATGTTGAAATCGATGACAATAGAAAAAGGGCTGGAAGTAAGAATTTTAAGAAGTCATTGGTTTTTTTTTATTCATTTATATAATGCTAAAGTTTCATTAATATAAATAAATAACTTTGATTTCTATGTAGCTGATTTATTAGGAGATTTATTAGAATCAACTAACACTGTAACTGAATATGAAATAAATGAGGTGATTGAAGATGAAGATGAAGAAGCGGAAGCTGAAGTTTCAATGACTTTGCAAGCTTTAGCATTAGAAGGTCTAATCATTAAGGACAAACTTAACTAAGAGCTACTTTCCTAAGTAAAGTATTAAATTAATTTCAGAATTTCTAATCTATTATTTGTTTGCATATAATGGTGAATCTGTGGCTAAAGTGTATTGTTTGCCTCCAACTGTGGCTTCTCCACCTTGAACACCGAATGTTGTTGCAGGTCCCAAATCTTCATCAGACCTCAATGATGGCCAAGAAATACCATTTGCTATTCCATCCGTTTTTTTTTTTTAATGAATGTTAGAATGAATTAATAAAATAAAATAAAATTCAATTCATTATTATTAAATTTTTACCTTTCTTTAATTTTAATTCTACTTTAGTGGTGAGAATCTCATATTTGGAATTTTCCGGTTCAATTAATTGATATAAAGCATAATTGGTTTTAAATCTCTTCCCATCAGGCATTTTCAAATCAACATTCAACTTTAATTAAATAAAAGATGGGGAGTGAGTAGATAATATATATTTTCAAATTCAAAAAAATAGGGGGATATAATTAATTACCTCTTGTTCTTTGAAAATTATAGAAGAGCGTTGCTTATCTACCTTCTTTGCAAATATTGACATAATGACATGTGTCGGAGTTTGATACCTGTTTCCAAAATATAATTGACGAAGGCTTAGCTATATAGGAAATCTTCTAGCAATTAATAATTAAACGCTTACCAATCATGTCGACATTGCACCACCTCCTCAACATTTGTCTAATAATTAAAACCGATGTAAAGTTAATGCACGCTGAATATAAATATTTTTACCACTTATTGGTACTCACATCATTGTTACCAGATCCAACAAACAAATGCTTCCCCTTCTTGCATCCTTTTATTTTTAAAAATTCTTCGAATTCTAGCACTTTTCTAGAACAGCAACTCCAACCTAAATTAAGATTAAGATTTTTTTTTTTTTTACGTTAGAATTGCAAACAAGCATACGACCAAATAATAATAAATAAATAATATACAAAGTATTGTTACCTTTACTACCTTCATGGAAAATTGGAGTACCGGGATGATAAACGCATTCAGCCTCTGATCCTAAATCTCGACTTGTTGCATCATCCACGTATTTTTTACCACATGAAGACCTCTTACATACTGTGCCTGGAGCAACAGGAATGCTTAAATCATCCTCTTCTGGCTCTTTTTCAATAGGTGAAGGTTTAGGTTTAGGTTTCTCGGTAACAGTTTGGGGGGTTGGTTGAGCGTATGGAATCTTTGGACCGGAGTCATATATCTCAACATCATTCTCAATACGTGTAGCAGTCTGCGTGGTAGGTGCGGTAACTTCTGGTTCCGATGTAACAGTTGTATCCTTCGGAGGTTTCTCTACCTGATCTGTATGTCGTCTAATGAATACAGAAAAAATTCCGGTTAATTGAAAAATCGATGAAATTCCTATCTTGTTTCAACTTATTATTTACCCACGAGTACATCCAGGTATCGCAAGGAATTCATCGAATGTTGTAACACGACGACTACAACATTGCCAGCCCTTTAATCCTATGAATAAAAATGATCGATTGATAAAAGTAAATATTAATCTAAAAAATTATTATAAAACAATAATACAAAAAATTAAAGTTTACCTTCATGGAAAATTGGTGGTGATGGATGATAAAGACAAGCATTATCATCATTTTCTTCTTCTTCATATGTGTTTTCACAACCTTTATGAACGCAAATTGGCATTTTTTCTGATTTTTATAATTGGTAGTAAAAAAAAAAAAAAAAAAAAAAAAAAATTCTATTATATAGATAGGTATTGTTTATGGACGAAGTTTCAAAATTTTTTTCGGGCATATTTTTAAAAAAAAACCACGCGATCTGAAATTAGTTCTAGCAAATTCTAGCTAATCATAATCATAATATTCAATACATTTTTTCCTGATCCGTAGAATTAATTCTTTTTAAGAAAAGATCATCGCATCTTAAAAAAATCCAATTAAAAGCTGAAATGGTCGAAATGACGTCAAACATGCTTTATTATGTATAAAAAAAAAAATCTTGATTTTAAATGGATATTTTACTTTCATCATTCTAAAATTAATGGTTTTTAATATTAACTTTCTTTAAATTATCTTGTATACTTTACTGATATCAGTTAAACAAAATCAATTATCAAACATATATTACAAATAAAATAAATATTTATATTACTTAAATACTTTTTTAATAGATTTAAAGATATTATTAAAATATAAATAAATTATAAATTGAATTTATCATATAGGACCTTTGCAATAGAAAAGGAAGAAACAGCTGGAAAAAATCAATTTTGCTTTTATATGTTAAATATGATTTTAGGTTAAAATATGTTCAGATTTAATTCTAACTCATTTTTTATTTTTTTCAACTATTTTTTCCTTTTCTATTGTAAAGGTCCCATATTATAATGTATCTAATAATAGAATTTTTAATCTTTTAAATTAATAATTATCAATATATATTAATATTGTAATTTTTAAAAATAATTTATTATTTAATAATTACAAAAAAATATATAAACTCTTTCTGACAATCACTTAACCAAAAATTTTTACATAAAAAATGTATACGTTCAAAGGTGACCATAGCTTAGTCTACAAATAAAAACAAAACTCTCTTTATAAATTTCTTCTTCTCTTTGTTTTCTCCAAACTTTCTTATTCCTAAAACAGATTTTATTGGTTCAAACTGTGATGTTTTTTTGTTAAAAATTTTTTTTCGCTACTTCTCTTAGTTATTTTTTCTTTATTTATTTCTTTTTCTTATCTATAAAAGAGAGCACAGAAGGTATTTCAAATGATGATTAGGATTGATAATAACTTTAGATCAACTAATTGCATGTGATGACTTTTCTAATTATCTTCCTAAACGATCACACTTATTAAATCTCTAATATTATAAAGCCTATTGATTTTAGCAGAATTTTTCAGTTTATCATAATTATATAATTTGGGCTTTGTGAATACCTACTGGTAATAGTAATCTGAATTGACTAATATCTTAGTATAAAATTTAAGAGTATAAAGAACCTCTAATAGAACTTAATGATATGAGCGCTTTTGTATTAAAAGGTCGCTATAACTAGAAATTAATAAGACAACTTAACTAGAAATTTTTTAGAATTAGATTTTTTTATTAGTTTCTTTTTTTAATTTAACAATAATTCAAGTTATTTATTTCGTATTAAGTTTAAATTTAGGATAGGAATTATTATAAGAAAAAAGAGGAATATGGTAATAATCTAGTTGTCGTACATTGAGAAAAACTTTATTAGTAATTATCTTCTAAATATAGCAGAATAGTCAGTTAGTCTAAGATTAAAAAGCTTTTTAGCTTACAAGAACATTTTAGGCAGTTCAATTTATTTTTTTACTTTTATACTTAGTTTTAGGATTTCTATGTATTAATTTACTAGATTTGAATTTTTTACAATAAATATAAGCATTATCATATCTTTAAAAAAAATAATTATAAAAATATAAAATTTAATTTATTGGATTCATCATATTAAGATCTATTAAATAATAATAATTTTATATTTCTAAGATTAATAAATAGCAAAATATATGAATTTAAGATTTTATAATAATGTATTATTTATTTATCATTAAAAAATTATTAGTTAATTACTTTTTTTAAAAATTTTTACTTAGAAAATATAAAATTTATTATAAAAGTATTAATTTTTTAATAATATTATTATACAGAAGAAGATATAGATAATGATGATAAAAAGGATAACGTCAATCCCTAGAAAATCATATATATCTTATATATCTTCTACAGTGTGTAAAATCTAAACCAAAAATCATGTGCTAAATGTGCACATTTTTATGACATCATATGTGCACAAAGTAA